GAGGGCAGCCTTATTATTTCACACACATGTACACATAAGCTTGCTTGCCAAGTATGGTGGCAATGAACAACCAGGAGACCCAGGTTCCATCTCATGTCCTCCTTGCAGTTGCACAACTTACAGTCTCACCACCCCAAGCTTGCTCATTCCATCCAGCCAGCTGTCTGGCATAGACTGGGTCTTCTGAAACTTCCCTGTGCATGAAACTTACTGTGCATGTGACTCAGTGGAGATCTTGTTAAAATGCAGGCCTTGGTTCTAAAGGTCCTGTCCTGACAAACTCCCAGAGGAAGCTGCTGCTTCTGGTCCTTGAACCACACTTTAAGTAGCCAGGGTTAGATGCATCATTTTATGCTCCCAGCCAACCCCTGGTATAAGCCCTCCTAGCCTTATTTCATAGATGAGGAGGCAGGCCCCACACTATCGAGCACAGTAGCCGGGCTAAAACACAAACATGGGTCTAACTGGTCTCTGAACTTACCCTCCATAAAACCTTTATGTTGCCTCTCTTTTCCTGAGGGCTGGAAAAAGTAACTTCAGTTTTCAAAGATGTGTAATCCATTTAAGAGGAAGTGGCTTAGCCATAATGAAAATCTGTCCCACCATAAACATGCAATAATATATAACTCCTCTTTTCCCTTAGAAGAAGTGAAGCACTGTAGTGGTGTAGACACTATAAATAGGAGGCAGACTCAAGTCTGTTAGGACAGGGGTATTACTGCATATTAGGAAGTGATTTTAAGGCTGTTTCATTTGGCCTAATTTATTTAATAAATATGTAATCCACCTTGTGGGCTTGCTAGGTCTATATGCTCACACATGCTGTTAGACTGGCTACCATTTCTACCACAGGAGGACACGTGAGGTATTTGCATTTCTATGTAAAGACTTCTCTGTGTCACAGTTTTTTAAGTGCTAAGGACACATTAGTAAATTATTCCATTCTATAGGCTAATGTCTACAAATAACAAATTGCTATCATATTTTAGGTCTGTGAGAGCATAAAGTTTGTTTTCTTTTAAAATGTTAAGTTATGACTTTAAGCATAAGAAACTTACATAAAATGTACTGTTTTGTTTTCTAAAGGCCAAATTCTAGGGCTTAATTTTTATGGGGAGAATTTTATCTTAGAGTAAAAATTTATAGCATAGTCGTAAACCTTCAAGTTGGGAATCTGTGATGGTTAGAGCGGTCAGTCTTAATGGGGGTGGCGTATAAAAGGGCTCCAAGAGCCTTGGGCATAAGTGGATAGACAGACCCTTGACATGGGTTTGCCAGTTCACACATCCCCTTGCTGCTGAATCATGGAAAAAAAATCAAAGTACTCCCATGGATCCACTGATATCCTTTGGTTAGTTTCAGGGGATTCCCAACCACAGTGGTTGCTGACAGTTGGTGAGTGGTGGGGCCTCCAGGGCAGACTGCTGGGGCTCATTTCCTGGCCTGCCTCTTCCCAGCTGTCTGATCTTGAACAACAGGGTCACCCTCTCTGAGCCTCAGTTCCTTTATCTGTAAAATGGGAGTAAGAAGACTGTTCCTCACAGGGTTGGTTTGAAGATAAAAGATTGCCACAGGGCTTGGAAATGCCCAGTACATAGCAGTAAATCCTTACAAATATTTATAGATGCTGGCTTCTGCTGCATAACCACAGAAAAGGTGTTTCTAACTCTCCAAGAGATCACATCTCTGAGAATCTATTGTGAATATAACTCATGGGCTCGGTAGCAGGGCATGACTGACACACCAGGGGACTGGGTCAGAGGCTAGGCCAGGCTAGCTGCTAGCTGGGTGTGTGTGACAGATTCCTGGGTAGCAGAGCACCCCCATCACTACCCAGAATTTGTTTCTGGAGCTCAGGTTTGTCATACCTGGAGAGATAGGTATTGAATCCCTGACCTGGCAGCCCCTGCCCCAGCCTGTCCCATGTGGATCCTCAGAGCCTGATCCTCAGAGCCTGTCAGGCTTCTGTGTAAACCTGTACCTTTAGGTGGAATCCAAGACAAGTTCACCCCCCAGAAATGCTTTTCTGTAGCATTACATTGAGGGTCCAGTTGTATTTCCTCTTGAGGACTGCCAGCTCTTAGTAAGTACTTGTCAGATGGTTGAAAACCTTTATGGAGGAAATCATGAAGCTGCCATGACAGTCTCAAGTCCTTTTTGCCACCAGCAAAGTCTTGTGAAAATGCATCTTTGGTGACCCTGCCCCATTTTCAAGGCCCTTGCTGCACAGGTGGGCACCTCATGTAGCATCAAGATACTTAACTCACTACACAAAACTCACAGTGGTCAAATTGGTCTGCCCCTCAGAGAACTCATTTTAAAGTTGTGATGTGAAGATGGTGGGGCAGAGTCCAGAGTACAGATGTTTCTGCACTTTCATACCGTGTCCGGCAAGCTTTGTCTCTCCCACACCCTTTTGCTCAAGGCTGATGGAAAAGAAATATTGGCACCTGCCAATTAAAGAGTCTAGCTGAGTACATGCTTCTGTGGCCAGAGAGTGAGCTGAATTACCACCTCACCTCTGACCTTTCCTCCTGGAGCAGCCTCCTCAGGGGATAAGAACGAAATCTAAGAACCCCCATGGTGAATTTGCCCTGACAGCCCTTCAAGGGTACTCAGGGAGGTTCTGTGCCTGCACTAAACAGGTGGCATAGGACATACCCTCCGAGTCTGCCCTGCACAGAATCCCTGGACACTGGTTGGCAGATGTGCAGCTGACACCCTCTAGGAGTGCTTGGCTGGCCGGCAGCATGTACTCATGTATGTATCTGAGGTATGGGCAACATTTTAAAAATAAACTTTTATCCATGAAGCCAAAACTTTTTAAAGTGATTTTTTAAACGGATTGAGAACATTAAGTGATTTTTTAAGCAGTGAGAACATTAAGTTCACTGAACAAGAAACTTAATTAAGAGTGGCTCCTGTGCCCCAAATACCCAGTGAGCAGAAAGCTGGCCAAACAAAGTCAGTATTTTAAGAGTGGAATACCTTGTGGCTGTTAAAATGAAAAATATATCAATTAAAAAAAAACATATATGAAGTATTCATTTTAAATAATGAATGTTCATTTTAAACCCCAAACTAGCTATTTGTAGCTGTTTTAAAATCCAAATATATCCATCAGCGAAGGTCAGAAGAGATTTTCAGGTCCTGTGAAGTTGACTAAATCCCTAATTTTACAAAACAGATGTACAGGACAGTCATGTGCAACCTCTGAGCACTACTCTGTAAGGACTCTCATCACCTGACTAAGCTCCAGTAGGAAGTGTAGTCTCCAGACAGCAGGGAGCCCTGGGACATGGCATAGCCAGAAACCTGGGGCTGACTTGAAGGGGGGCGGGTTTCAGTTCTTCCTGTAGCTGCTCCTCTCTGAGGAGCATTCCACTCTGGGCACAGGTCCCCCCACCCAGAGGACCTGAGACCCTCCCCTGTGCCCAGCAAGGCAACTGTGAGAAGAAAGCGGAGGACAGTGGCACGGAGGGAGGACAGCTACATTCCTAACTCGGAAATTGCTCAAGAAAAATCACACCATCTCCAGTCACCAGTGTAAACATAGACCACTGATAGTTTTCTTGCTGAAATTCTCCTGTTTCTTTTTATATACATGAGCTCTCCGAAGGGTTCTGGTGATCCTTGCTGATTCTTCTGCTCCTTCCCTGGCTCCAGTAGTTAGAAGAGGAGAGAGCAATGTCTTCTTGCATGGCCAGCTGAGGACCCAGTGGTGACATCGGTGCCAGGTCCCCGCTGTTGTGCCCCAGGTGACGTGTCCTGGCTGATAGCAGGGACAGGCTACTGACACCACTGTCCTCTTTTCGCAGAGTTTAGTTTTGCTTTGACAACTCCTCCTAAGCCAGACGATTGTTATAGCCCGCGTGTCATTCTTATTTACCCTAAATAAGGAAAAACAAAGGCTATTCTGGGTACAGGCAGTGCTTTCGGCTGGGGCTATTTGCAGCATCACCACAGCATGCTGCCCTTGTCATCAAAGACACTCTGTGATTTTTTTCTGAAAACCATGACAGACATGCAGCCTGCTCTGAATTCTGTTCGCACAGCCTAGGGGCATCCGGATGCACAGTGATGTCTTACACTCATATGCAGTGAACTGTTTAGAGCTTGGGGACAGCAGGCTCGCACCAAACCAACCAGGACAAGCTCCCTCCTGAGATGTTTCTCTGCTTTGGTGCTTGAATCAGCTCTTGTCGTGGCCTGGGATTCCTTCCTCTAATTTCTGAACCTCATAAACTAACACTGTGCAGGACGATTGAGAGGAGTCCTGACGTAGGAGGCTTCTCCGTGGTGTGTTTGTGCTATGGTACAGTAAGGGATGATGGCCAGATGGAAGGAAGCAGGAGCACAGGGTGGAGGTGCAGGGCTTCCTGCCGTGGCCGGGACCTCAGCCGCAGGTGCTGTGTGGGCTGCTCCCGTCAGTTAGGGACTTCTGGGCGAGCAGTGTCTAGCCTGGCTGCTGGCCAAGGGGTTCTGTGGGTTTCCTGGAACCGGCCCATGTGAAGAAGCATGTGGACGTAATGCAAGGGAACTGCCCACTGTGTGTCGCCTGGGTAAGCACTCTGAAAGCTTCCTGCAGAGAGATTTGCAGATTCCCTAGCTGCCTTGTCTGGCTGATGTCTACCTGTCAGAAATAGTACTGAAGGCACAGGCACAAGGTGACCATCTTGCTGCAGCCCCCTCGCCTGAGCGTTAGATCAGAAATGTGACAGTGAACAGCAGTACATGGTGTTAAGCTAGTCCTGGGGCCGGAGACCCTGGGCTTATTCTCTGCCTGGCGACACTGCCGGCTTCCTGCTGCAGAACTCCTGATTTCTGTTGGTGGCAGTTGATAATTGGTAGCCACAGTCTGCGGTCAAAGCCACAGCACTTGAGTCTAGCACCTGGGCTGGCCCGCTGCTGCAGAGGGGGAGTGCAGAGACAAATTCACACACTCTCACCTCCCACACCCCATGCTGGCTGTGCCTGCAGCCTGAGCTGCATGCAGAGGAGGCTGCCTGGCACTCAGGGGATGCTTTGAACTCGGGGGGCTGTGTCACTCTTGGACCCCCACTTGCAGAGGCATCGATTATGTCCAGTGACCACCTGAACAGCAGCACACTGCAGGAGGCTCAGTTTAAAGACCTGTTCTTAAGAAAAGGTACATTTTCCAAGGCCCAATGTGGATGGTGTCTGCTCGGTTGGGTTTGCTGTGGCTTTCCTTGGAGTTTATTCTGAGGGCAGAGTTGAGCAGAGGAGAAGCTCTTTCTTGCGAAGTTTGAGGGGTCTGTCTGCTCAGAGCATGAGGGCCTGGGGCTCCCTTGAGGAAGATGCATCTCAGCTTCTCCTTTCTCTTTTGTTCCTATGGAAGACGTTAGGAATAAATGCCCAGGTTTGTTGCTTTGGAGTTTTGTTTTCTATTCTAATGCTCCTTATGTGAGGCTAAAACCTCTCCTTGAAATGCTGTCACTTATCTAATGGGTACTTGTTTTCTTTTTCTTTCTTTCTTTTTTTTTTTAACCCCAAGTTGTTGAAAACAGCATTTGAAAGAAAAGATCTATTTCTCAGGATGTGAGTCGTTCACCGAATAGTTTTTTAGGTCATCAGAGCAGTGACAGTAGCTGTAAGGAAAGAGATCTGTGACTCCAGGGGACAGAGAGCCGAAGAAAACAAGGGGCAGCCAGTGGACAGATGGGGGTGAGCACACGTGGGCTGTGTCTCCTGGCACACTTTCCTAAAGTGATAGTGTGAGGGTGGCTGAGGGTGGATTTTAAATGACTCCTACAGGGGGATTACAGTTTCGTGTATGTATTTTTCCCATTTATAGCACAGCAGAGGGGTAGATTGTTAAAAGGTTTGAAATTGTTCTTCCTTCTCTGCTGGTTTTGCAGGAAGTCCTGCCAGTCATCTTTGACTGGAACATATTCAGGCAGATTTCTCTCTTAAGTGATCACAAAACTCTATGATCTAATGTGCATGTTGCAGAGTCCTTGTGCTGGGTGAAGACATGGCCCTTCATGGGTTCAGAAGCTGTCACTACAGCAGGACACTTGTGGACTTGTCCCCTAGTCACTGTTCATGGCTGTAGCTGACCTCGGGCTGTATCAGGGGTGTGCTGTGCCACCGCGGCCCCTCACTTTCATCTCTCCACTTACAAAAGCCTAGGTGTCATGTTCTGATTCTGTCATCATGCAAAATGTTTTACATAAATATGGGAGAATAAATAGGAGGTAAATTAACAGATAACTTATAACAGCCATGAGACTCTTTTTCTAGCTATAGTTCACACTTCTTCAGAGTAGTAATGGTTGAATAATTATCACAAAATATGAAAACGTTTAGCAAAACTTCAGCTGCTATTAGTTGTCAGTGTCTAGTGCAAGACACTATTTGGGCAGACAAGGCCATCGGAATCCCTTCCTTCTGAAGGACACCAGATGGGTGCCAGGCACTTGGCACCGGCTGAGAGCACTGGAGATGAGCAAGATGCCATCCCAGGGCTCACTCTCTAGGGGAAGAAAACCAGAACATGGGCACAAACAAGACAGTGATAAGTTGCAACAGGGTTCAAAGGGTGTTGTTGGGGCTTAGGAAGGAGATGATAAAGGGAGATAAAGGGAGCAGCTGACACCAAACCCAGGTGTTTCGGGGCGGGGAGGCTTTTCCATTCCTGTTGTTCTGCTTGTAGCGTAGAGTTGCCAATCCACCTCTGAGGAAAACAAAACTCAAAATGTGTAATGTAGTCAGTATGATGATAGCTCTTACTGCTTTGCTTCTGAACTTCAAGCTGCGAAGTCATTCTTATAACACAGGCTGAATTTTCCCCCCTCAATCATGGTGTGTAATGAGTGTGAATTTTCTTCAACCATTAAAATCTTCAAGAGTATTTTTATACTAAACAGTTCACAAACTTGAGGCAATTATAGTCTAAGTAGATTCTAGCTCCTGACCCTCCCCCCCATCTTCTTGCTCCACTGCTGCCTGGTCTCTGTAAGGATTTTGGAAAGAATTAGCCAGTCTTTAGGAACATTCAGCAATTTAAAAGTGCCACAGAGTCATAAATAAAGACAGTCATCTTATCACCACACCCGTCTCTGCTGAAGAGGACAGAGACAGGAAGGAAGCAGAAGCACAGACAAGTTTGTTGTGCAGAAGCCATGTAAGATAGCCACGAGGTGGAGGGGTGTCCATGGTGGGGACCTGGGGAGTGTGCTGGCAAGGGGTTGTCTGGAGGCGAGATTCTGCCATGTCCCCAGGGCCCCAGGAGACCCTGGTTGGGGAATAAGGTGGAGGGGGCAGCTGCTGTTGGGAGCGTGGGTGGGGTGAGCCACTCTTTGCTGCATTGAGGTTCCACGTGGCACCTTTTCTGGATCCCACCAAGATGTTTACTTGGTCTGGAGAAAGGCAGGGGTGAACGAGGCCTGGCCTCATTAGAGGGCTTGAGAGCACATGTTACATGTCTGGAGATCAAAGAGCAACTAAATGCACAGAAAATAGGGAAAAAATAGGGAAAGTCTGGTGAGTGGTGAGGAAGGACCTGCTGGAAGTTGTGTTAACTGCCCACAAGCAAGTGTGTGCATGTGTTGGAGCTAAGGCAAGGACAGCCACACCGCTGAGCACCCTGAGCACAGCGCAGACGCTCGTGCCCCCAGGATAATGCAGCCCCCACTGAGTTGGGGGAGGACACAGGCTTACGCCCTGCTGTGCCTCTGTTCCTGTAACTCTCCACTTTGCAGCTGGACTTCCCTGGACCCGTATCCATGGAAACAGAGAGACCCCATCCCTGCTGTCATCACCATGTGCAGTGAGAGAATAAGACGCTACACTCCCTCCTGCTTCTCAAAGCTGGATTCCTGGTCACCGGGACTCACTCCCTGCCGCCTCTTGAACTACAGCCCCAGACAGGAGGGGTGAAAATTTGACTTTGGCCTGACATTCTTCCCTGTGTGCCCTGTTTTTTGGCATTTTTCTGTGGACATCAAGGGCTATTGAAATCAAGGAAAACTGACTAGTGGTTTGTGTTCAGAATTCACAGAAGACGCATGAAAACCCAAAGCATCCTATTATTTTCCCAGAATGCTACTATTCTTGCGGGTTTTAAAACTTTAATAGTTTTTCTAGAAGTTATTCTCTTCTTTGCCTTCCCTTTACAGCCCCCTTCCAAAAATACCCCCCAAATCAAAACCCCAGCTCTCTCTCTGATCCATGCGCAGCCCCGTCCCACTGCATGAGGACAGGCCACAGGCAGGCAATATGATTCTCCTGTTCCAAATGAATGGAGGCTGGACACGGTAGCTCAAGCTTATAATTTCAGCACTCTGGGAGGCTGAGGCAGAAGGATTGCTTGAGCTCAAGATTTAGAGACCAGCCTGAGCAAGTGTGAGACCCTGACTCTACTAAAATTAGAAAAAAAACTAGCTGGGTGTGTCACAGTGGGCGCCTGTAGTCCCAGCCACTCAGGAGGCTGAGGCAAGAGGATCACTTGAGCCCAAGAGTTTGAGGTTGCTGTGAGCTATGATACCACAACACTACCCAGGGTGACAGAATTAGTTTCTGTCTAAAAAAAGAAAAAAAAAAAAAGAATGAACAGGTATGGGATAGCACGCGCAGGGCAAGGGCTGCTTACACACCCAATCGTGAGTCTGAAGGGGACTCAAGGGCCTCCAGGGCTGGATGGTGTCCTGCCTGTTCTTGGACCCTCTCTCTGTTCACTGAAGTTCCCACTTGGAGAGTGTGCTAGACCCTGCTTGGGAGAGTGTTTATAGCCCTGAAGAGAGTGAAACTTCCATGTTTCTTGCTTTCTAAGATCTGTCTCCTGAGATTAAAGGACAAGGAGGTCGTCTGTTTCTGGTGATGACTTTGCCCAGAGTTCAAAGCCAAGGCCTGCTGCCCATATGCCTGCAGGATGGCAGCCCCCTGGCAGGCTCTCGCCAGCCCCCGACACATGGTGGGGCTTCAGGAGCAGCACAGGCCACCCAGACATGTACTAGAGACTTAGTGGTTAGGATGGTGGCTTCTGCGCCCGGGTATCACTGGGGTCTGTCTTGCCTACAGTAAGAGCTGCCTCTGATACCCGGTGCTCAGTGCTGCAGGGTGTCAGGCTCTTGCCAGATTCCTACCACACTAGGGTGTTGGCTAGGCATTCCTGCGAGGCCACTGGCTCAGTGCGGAGCCCCCTGGGGACCCTGTACCTGCTTCTGTGACCCTGTGACCTCAACCTAAGCCAGGCAAGTTCTGCACTACTTGAGTGCCTGTGATGCTGCTTCCTGCATGCTGGAGACATACCTGCTGAGGCCATGTATGACTCATGTGAAAACTCAGGGCAATAGCACAAGTGCAGGCATTACCACAAGGACAGAGCAGGTCCACAAGTGTGGTTGGTTTATAAGAATGCAGGGGACACTCAGCTTGAGAGCATGTGGTTCTCCTTGAAAGAAAGATGGTGGGAACGTAACATTTTTTTTGTTTTGAGACAGAGCCTCAAGCTGTCCCCCTGGATAGAGTGCCCTGGCATCACAGCTCACAACTCCAACTCCTGGGCTCCAGCGATTCTCCTGCCTCTGCCTCCCAAGTAGCTGGGACTACAGGCACCTGCCACAACGCCCAGCCATTTTTTGGTTGCAGCCATCATTGTTGTTTGGCGGGCCCAGGCTGGATTCGGACCTACCAGCTCAGGTGTATGTGGCTGGCGCCTTAGTTGCTTGAGCCACAGGCACCAAGCCGGGAACTTAATTTTTAGAGTCATTCCATACGCTGTTCCACACAGCTGAGCTCTCTCTCAACCTTGCTTAAATTTTTAAATAAGATTTTAGATCAGATGATGTATACCTTTCAGATGACAGCAAACATTCTATGTACTGTCTCAGACCAAAAGAGAAATGAAAACCAGCGCAAAGGGAAATCTAACCATAAAGGTACAAACCCCAAAACTCTTAGGCAAAAGCATTTTTAGAAAATTGAAGAAGGCTTTCCTTATCAAACAGAATGATTAGAAACCATAAAGGAAAAGGCAGTATTTGATGGCATAATAATTTAAGTCATCTATAAAGAAACTCACAGCCAAGTTTAAAGAAAGGGCAGAGTGGGAGAAAAACATTTGCAATGTATGTAACAAAGATTTGCAGGCATAATATGTAAAGACTTTTTATAAATACGTGTAAAATGAGAAAACTACAATTAAGCTAATATGAACTAATGTGATTATGAAATACTTGAAGAAAAATACAAATTACCATAGCCACAGCAAAAGATCTGAAATTATCTGGACTTGGAGAAATACAAATGGAAACAGCTGCACGTTTTTGCCCATCACATTGGAACAAATTAAAAGGACTGGTTTTTGGTGTGGGAAATATGCCCTCTTCCTGGTGAGAGCCTAAATTCTCACAGGCAAGTTTATAAAAATAAGATAGGTTCTCAGTAGCCATAGATATTAAAAATGATTATGCCCTTTGCTCAGAAATTTCGCTTTTAGAAATCTTTCCTACAAATAACATGGCAACACACACAATCCTTGAGTCATAATAGAAAAAAGAAAAAAGGGTGGCACCAGTGGCTCAAAGGAGTAGGGTGCTGGCCCCATATACCGGAGGTGATGGGTTCAAACCTGGCCCTGGCCCAAAACTTAAAAAAAAAGAGGCTGGCGCAGTGGCTCACACCTGAGATCCTAGCACTTTGGAAGACCAAGGTGAGAGGATCATTTGAGGCCAAGAGTTGGAGACCAGCCTAAGCAAGAATAAGACCCTATCTCTATAAAAAAAAGAAAGAGACAGAGAGAAAAAGACAAGGAAAGAGAGAAAACCACCTACTTGAACAGTCACTTCTTAGAGAACAGAAGTTCTAGTACATTTATACTGTGGCACAAAGAGCCACCATAAAGAGCGAGTTGGTATATGTGTGTCTTGTTTAGAGACATCTGTGATATATTAAGTGGAAAAAAAGCTGAACAATATATTTATACAATGACCCTTCACTTGGGAAGCAGCTGCACACTCAGCAGTGGGGGCACTTCCCTAGGATGGGTGGGGATGGAAAAGGGAACTTTGGGTTCTGTCGCCTTCTGTATTGTTTAAGTTTTCAAGAAGTTTTTATTACTTTTATAATGAAAATACTTTTAAAATAATATATGAAAAATGCCCATAGACTTAGGAAAATATAATTTGATTCTCTTTGCTACCAACGCTGGTCTGCATGGCTTTTCATGTTTAGGCAATGGCAGGGTGCAAAGTCAGCCTCTGTGGGAGGAACTGACCGGGTGAGGGTCTGGATCCTTCACTGTCGCCATCACTCTCCTCTTTCCATGTTCATAAAACAATGAAGTTTCATCAAGAAAATGTTTGTGCATCCCTGGGCATACTTTAACCTGAGAGACAATTTGTGAATACTCTGCTATTTATTCAGAAAATAAGCATTGGTAAAACAGGGCATTATTTAGGGTTTAGCCTTCAACATATATCTGCAGTCTCTGCCCTAAACAGAGCTAGCTCCCCACTTCCTTTCATGTGTGTCCCGGGGCAAGGGCTCTTGTGCTGGTGTCTCCTGCACAGACCTCAGGGCTTCTTGGAGGCACCTCTGGTGCTCTGCAGACCCCAGGGGCCTAGTCCTGTCTGCAGTGGCTCCCACCTGTGCAGGTGGCCTATTATCTGGGCCTGCTGGGGTGTGCTCTCAAGTCATTCACTGATTCACAAGTTACTGATTGAACCTCCTAACTGCCTTTTGCATCCCAAGGAATGAAGTGGCAGCTCTGGACATGTGCCCAGAGAAGTGTCCCATGGCGTATGGGTGTGGAGTCCTGAGGAACACAGGGCCAAAGCCAGGGCATCCCAGACACAAGACAGTCACTTGCAGGGGTAGAGGGGTCAAGACAGTGCCTTGGGTAACAGCACAGCACTCCTCATAGCCCATCTCCACGTAGTGGCGTAGGCCCCAAGTCTTTGCTTGCTGACCAGGAGCAAGGTTGGCCTTTGTCAGAGGCCCTGCTAGGAACAGTGTTTATGAGCCCTGGAGAGCTTTTCCCCTAGAGATGGGTCCCTGACATCCAGAGCAGCAGCAGCACTCATGGGATGCAGTGACCCCCAACATGGCCTTGCCACTCTAGCTCTAGAGTGGCCCTGGCCCTCGAGTTGCCCATGTCTGCAGGGATGGGGGATATCCCCAGGCCTCCTGCTGCTGCCAGGGCTATGCTAGGAGGTCTGCTGGGCTCAGTATGTGGCTCTCATTCTATGGGATAGCCCAGGCCCAATCTCTCCACCTGCCCTCACTCAGCCCCTCTGGTGCCCAGGGTGTGGGTGGCAGGTGCACACACAGCTGCAGTTCTTCGGGAGGGAGCTCAGCCCCTGCTCATGCTACCACCCTGGGCATGTGTGGGTGCCTTGAAGGATGTGCCTCCCCACTGGCCTGGACTGCAACTGTGGCAGACATGTGTGTGTGTATGTGTATAGGTCTGTGCCTTGAGTCCAAGACATGGAAGCCGGTGACAGCGTTCTCCCCTCTTTCTCCATCCCTTCTTCATATTCATAGCTCCCCAGAGCTGGGCCCCATCCTCCTCACAGAGAGGGGAAAGCAAGGGAGAGCCTTGCCCACCTCTTACCCTAGTCCTCCCTTTCAGTGTTGGGGGCTTGAGTGAAGCAGCTGGGCCGTCCTCAGCAGAGCTGGTGCTGGGAGCAGAAAGCAGGAAGGCCTGAGCACTGACCTGCATCCTCCTTGACAGGTGTGACTCACCTGTGTCTGACCACCAGCCTCTGGTGCTGTGGCCTGGAGTCAGTGTGTGGGAGGCGAGTGTCAGTGGTGTCCAGGATCCTTTTGTAATGGTGCTGTCAGAAACACAGACGTGACCTGACTGCTCACCAAGCCTCCACAGGACTGGGAACAGTGCAGGCATGTTTCCGGCTCATCTGTGGAGGTGCAGCCTGAGTGCTGTGCTGTCTTTGTGGTAATGTTGGTTTCCCGTCAGTCTGCTGGTTCCCAAGTGGATGTGCTCTGAGAAACAGCTTCACCTTAAAGATGGACTTAATTTTTGTAGAGCAATTACATTGGGAGAAATAGCTCCAGTTTTGGAAGACCTTCTCAGCTCCCCTGGGTGGGGGAGTGGAGGTGTCATCTGGCATAGGGGGCAGGTGACAGGAGCCCCAGGCTTTCCACCCTCAAGAGGAGGTGGCACCCAAGCCTGACCAATGCACAGAGTGTCCCACAGTGACACTGGCCTGGACTTGGAATTCCTGCGTGGGATCTGGGGACAGTGACAGCAATACCTCTAGAGGTCTGTAGGGCCAGCAGAACACATTTCTTTAAGTCCCCTACATCACAGTTGCAAAGACAAGGTCTGTGCATCAGACGGAGCACCAAAGTCTGCAGGGCACAGCCCCACTCTCAGGTCTCCCTTTTATCAAAGTGTTCATAGAATGTTACTGGCTGCACATAGTGTTTCAAGCCTGTAATCCCAGCACCTAGGGAGACCTAGGCAAGAGCATCACTTAGGACCCAGGAGTTCAAGACTAGCTTGGGTAACATAGCCAAACTCCATCACTGCCAAAAAAACTAAAAAAGGCAAAGATCCCCCCCCCCCCAAAAAAAAGCAACAACATCTGCTGGGGGCTTTGGCTTTGGGCAGCAGCCCAGGTCCAGTGCCATGTATGGCCAGAAGCACATAGTCCTGGGTCTGACACCCTGCCCAGCCCTGCATGGCCTCAGCCCTGCCTTAGTGCCCCCCTCTCCACTGTGGCTGGGCCATTGCAACACACGAGGTCCTCTTGAGGACCAGATGTTTGCAGGAGCCCTTCACAGCCTAGTGGCCATAGCCAGGCTGGTACCTGGAGCTGGCAGCAGCTGGGGAACAGGTGTGGGCCAGTGGGCAGCTGTCTAACCCACTCACTCTCCTTTCCCACTGCAGCGGAGCTGGAATTTGCCCAGATCATCATCATTGTCGTGGTGGTCACAGTGATGGTCGTGGTGATCGTCTGCCTGCTGAATCACTACAAAGTCTCCACGCGCTCCTTCATCCACCGCCCAGGCCAGGGCAGGCAGCAGGAGGACGGGCTGCAGCAGGTGAGTGCCTGGCTGCCCTGGGCTCTTGCTGCCAGGCAGGTGCAGGAGGACAGGATGCAGGTGGCCCCCCGGGTCAGTCCCTACAGTTCAGCAGAGACTTTCTGTTGATGTTCTAATGTTTAGCAAAGTGTATAGGTCGTGTGGTGAGCACCTGGTCACAGAAGAAACAGGACAACCCCTGGAAGTCCCACAGCTGCACCCAGGCTTCCTGGGGTCCATGCAGGTTGGGCTTTGGCCAAGGGGTCACACCATGGATGCACTCTGATGTGGGCTCTGTCACCAGTGTTGGGTTTGTGAAATGGTCTGTGTTGTGAGGAGCTTGGTCCTGGAGGTGCTCCTCCCATGACAGACCACTTGGCAAGGCCCCAGCAGCCTCCTGGGGTTGTAGTCACACAGCAGTGCTGTTGACCCTGGGAGAGGAGGGCTGCTGTAGCATGCTGTCCCGGGCCTGTCATACTGTGACCCAGTGGCTTTGGCCAGAGGTTTAGGGCGGGGAGTTCAGGTGAGTACCAGCCCTGACTTCAGTTATGGTTAGTGGTTAGTGGTGGCAGAATCCCCCCCACCCCTGCCCCATTCAGTGCTGGGCTTGCTGACAGCAGGAAGCATCTTTATTTGACATCTCTGTTCAGGGCCAAGGCCATGCAACTCTCACTCCTGCCCTAACTGAGGGAGGCCGTTGTGATGGGGTATAGCATCCAGGGGGTATTGTGCTTCACGGGGCATGGGCCTGGCGAGCTGTGGGTGAAGAAGAGGTGCACCATGAGTTTTGCAGCCTTCAACAGCAGGGGCAGGAGCAGGCTGGGCGCTGTGTGCCACCCTCCGACTATGGTGAAGGCTGGATGGGGCAATGGCGAGGGGCCTGACCCAGGGACAGCCCTTTCCTCTCTTGCCTCCCTGTATCGTGTTACCTCCCTCCATCCCCAGAGCAGCCCACCAGTCCCTCTGGTCCTGTTGTGTCCTCAATGGCTCCCAGGACCCTTTATCATCTGGGTAGTCTGATGGCCACAGGGCTGCGCCATCCAGATGTGCTGAGCACTCTGGCATCCTCCTGCCTATGGGTTGTCAGGGAGAGAGCTAGTTCTTCCAAAGTTGTGAGTGCACTTGTGCACACAATTTCCCCATGTATCAAGAGGGAGATGGGGAGAAAAATATTGTCCCAATAGCAGTTTCAAAGCCACAGAAGGCTCAGACATCACTGCTCTGCCTTGATTCTCTGTGAACATTGACTCCAGTCTCAGGGAAAATAAGACAGCCCCCACTTCTGCTCCAGGAGCTCCAGAACACTCAGGGTCCCTGTACAGGGGTCACAGAGAGCTCCCCCAGTCCCCTAAAAAGCACTCCCGGACTGGCCCAGGCCTCTCTGTCACCTCCCTCTCCCCGCGTCTCGGCAGGCACAGTCCTCTTGCTGTCACCATCTCTGTGGCCTCAGGTCTAGGCATTGGCACATGCAGCCACACCCTTACCAATCAAGAGGTCTGCAGGGAGGTGATTTTTAAAAGACAGAAAAGCAAAAATCTAAATGTGCCTTTACTTGAACAGCGTCATCTATGTTCCTGGCAGGGGTGTGTGTGAGGCCCCCTACCAGGAGGGCTGGCAAGCTGGCCAGCCAGCAGGGCCTCCCTTTTCTGAAATCAAAAAGGCAGTCACACAAGCTGTAGAGGTGCCCCCAGGGCTGCCCTCTGTGCAGCAAGTGAAAGCAGGCAGTGTCTGGAGCAGTATACCTGCAGTGGTTCTGTTCCCATCTGTGCCCCCCATTTCTGTGAGTTTGGGGATCCCTCTCTGCTGTGCCCTCCTGTTTCTGAGTTAGAGGGAACCCTCCTTGCTGTGCGCTCCTGTTTCTGTGAGTTTGGGGGAGCCTTCCCTGCTGCACCCCTATTGCCATGAGTTTGGGAAATCCCTCCCTGCTGCACCCCCATTTCCATGAGTTTGGGGAAGCCCTCTCTGCAGTGCCCCTCTGTGTCTATGAGTTTGGGGGAGCCCTCCTGCTGCGTGCTGCTTCTCCTGAGTGATCCAGAACTGGGTGCTGTTACTCTCCAAGGCATGGGTCTCCCCCTCAATCAAATGGGACTGTGGGAGTTGTCACCCCCACAGGGCCTCTGTGCAGTGTCCACAAAACTCAGGTGTGCGTCACATGGGCGCCAGAGCAGCTTGGCCCAGGCTCAGCTCCACCCTCTGACCAGGACCGTTAGCCTGGTTGATGGCTCTCAAAAAGACAAGAGAGCAGAGGAAGGGACCTTCCATCTCCCTGCAGCCCTGCCCTGAGAGTACCCACCTACTTGAGCCTCCTGCTCCCATATCCCTCCTCCTCCTCCCGAGCCCCTGTGAAGGGACACCCTCCCCTTCCCACCACCCTAGGAGAGCAGTCAGAGAATCTGCCAAAGGTAAGTTTATCCCCAAGGGCATATTTGACAATTTCTGGACAGGTTTTTTGCTGTCCCAAGGGTACTACAGGGATGCTCTAAACAATGCATGGGCAGCCCAGACATAGAACTCTGTGACCAGACGTGAGCAGTGCCACTGGACAAACCCATCCCGCCATGTGCGAGGCCTGCCCAGCCCAGAGGCGTTCGTTGGCAGGAGAAGCCACCTGCTCCCACGGCTGGTCTGCCTGGCCGGCTCTAAGGTGTCCACATGGCCTGACAGCCCAGGGGCAGAGTAGTCTGGACCACTGCCTTGGGAGCAGTCTCCTGGTCTCTCTAATGGCCTCTATGATCCAGCCACTCCGTGGACACTGTCAGTGGTGGGCACGGAATAAGTTAAGGAGGACACAGTGGTCATACCCTGTTCCTACTATGAGTAGCATCTGCAGACTTGCCATTCTCTCCATCTTGCTGGCCATATGTGTGTGGTGGGGAAGGGGTCCTGGGGGCAGCGGGGCAGTTTGGGAAGGGCACTGCATCTCTTCCACCAGCCTGGGCCTGGCTGTGGGCTGTTCCAGGTTGCAATCCCAGGCTGTGCAACTGCATCCCATGAGCACCGACTCCCTCCGTGGGCTGGAGGGGTGGGGCTGAGCAGGTGGCATCAGGGGTTTGTTCCCACTGACACAGCTCCACTGCCACTGGCCTTCCAGGCTCTGCATCTTGCCAAGCAGTCTGTGGGGGTGACCATGTGTCAGGTTTTGTCAGCATGTGAGCCCCCAGTTCCCCACCCCTCTCTAGCACCCCATGTTCCTGAGAGCCACAAGCCCTGCTCGTGGGCAGCCTTGGTGCCACACCCCTTGCCCCTGCCCCAATCTAGAACCTTGGAAAAATAGTTATCAGGGAAATAGCAGCAGCACAATTGGGTCTCACTTTTAAGGAGGAGGCCGAGGTTTGGTTGAGGAAGCCTCCCTGCCAGAGCATGGGGGCCTCTCCTCAGTAGCAGGAACAGCTGACAAGATAGGACTACAGGAACTCTGAGCACCCTTGGTTCTTGGGGACAGTCCTTCTATGAGAAATGGTGGCTGGGCCAGCTGCTGCCCCATCCTCTCCTGTGGAAGTGCATGGGGTTTGCTCTTGTGCAGTCACAGGGGAGCAGTGATAGTGCCCCAGACGCTCCAGTGACCTCCCTCCTCAATCCTTTGCTTTCTGTCTCTGACAATGTGTCTCTCAAGGCCAATCAGTCTCTGTCACCATGCAGTGTCTGGAGACTCTGTCTGCTCCAGAGGAGCCTAGGGTGGCACGGTCCTAGCCCTGAATTTGCTAGAAGCTGCCATTTCTGGATGAAATTGGAAAATAGCAGCCCAGGCTTCAATTATCAGAAACGTTAGTCCTTATGTGTTCTTTCTGAGGGGGCTCAACTTGCTGTTTAGCGTCTGGTTTATGTGATTCAGAGCTTTGAAACCATCTAGATTTCTTTTCATTATTGTAGACCACCAGGTGATAGGAGAACAATAAAGGTGCATAAGTATTCCAGACACAGTGTCCTGAGGGCCTGGGGTGTCCTCCTGACACCCTGAACCCCATACCAACAGCCCACACAGAGGAACAGGAGAGGGACAGGACCCTTACTGAAATTGTGGATATCCAGCTGTTTTTAACCTATAAAACAGTAATTTCAATTAAAAAATTAACAAAATGAACTAAGGCAGGTATCTCTTCATTACCAGCTGTGGCCATGCTTAAACCAACTGCAAAGGTCCAGGTGCCTGGTCTCCCCGTGGGGCGTGTCCTCTGGCAGCTCTAGAAAGAGCAGCAACAGGCTGGTACCTGGTAAGGCCGACAGGCACCAGCTGCATAGGCCACTGGGCGAGAGGGCGAGGCCTTGTGGGCATGGTGCTCCTGGTGCGGGGCGAGTGCTCCTCAGCCCACTGTGCCTTTCTCCACAGGACTTACAGGCATAGCTGGAGTGTGGCTGGTGTGTGTGGCTCACCCCAGGGGGTGTTCTGACAAAACCTGACCCTTTTATAATCAGGATATTTCACATAAAAATTGGAATCTCCACCTTCTCTGAAAAGGTAGCATTTGGAGCCATGCCCTGAGGCTGGAGCACTCAGGCCAAGCCTGTGCTCCCCTTGGTGTGATCCCATTGCCCTATGTGGCCCCTTGACACTGGGGCCATGTTGTTGGCATTTCTTGGTTTACATAGTGGTTGTTTTCTAGAGAAAATATTCTACAATCAGGCCTAGACCAAGAAGGCCACTGGTTTCCAGAAAAATGGGCAAGAATATTGCTGTAGAAGTAAAGGTCATTCCTCCTAGACCAGGAGTTGAGACGTCTGGGTCAGCAGTGCACGGCGTGTCCTTCACTGGCCCAGCCTGACATGGCCACTCATCTTCCCAGGCAGGCCTGGAGCCTGTGGCTGAGAGGGCAGGGGTGGCAGTGTGAGCTCTCTGGCTATTTGCAGCTCAACTGGCCACCAGTGGCCTGTCTGTTGGCCTTGGCAGTGGGGGAGGCCTGAGGATAGGCAGAGCTGGGTAGGTAGCCCACAGCAGGAGCCCCCTGCTGGGCTTTCTGGGTGGGGTAGGTGTGCAGAACCCATTCGCCTCTGGCCATGTCCCCCTACAGCCTTTCCCAAGAAGG